GCGCTCATTCCCCCGGCCCGCCCGGCCCGGCGACGCGGTGGGCTCACCTAGGCGAACCGCCTCGTTGTACTTGAGCAACGCCGCCTCCACCTGGCGCTCGCGGTACAGCCGGTTGCCCTCGTGCCGGAGTTGCGACGCCCGTGCGGGGCCGGGGAACAACTTGCCCAGGAGGCCGCTGAGCACCACGTTGACCCGCAGCGGCGGCGGCGGCGGGGGCGGCGGCGGCAGTGGCGTGGCCGCCGCCGCCTGCTGCCCGACTCGCAGGACCGCGCGCGCCCTCCCGGCGGCCACCATCAACGCCGAGAGCTTGACCCCGCACAGGGCGCAGCGCCGGTCGGCTGCCCGGCCGCGTTCCAGGCACAGTTTACAGAAGGTGTGGCCGCACGACAAGGACACGGGGTCTGACAGAAACCCATGGCACTTCCGGCACTTGAAGCCGTCCCACACCTCGGTGGCCGTGGCGGCCGTTGGCGCCCCTGCCTCTTCCGCCGCCGCCTCACGGCTCGCCGCACCGCTCCTGTCCGGGGGCACCGGCGGCAGCGCCTCGCCTTGCGGGACGTTCTGGGCCAGGCAGCGTACCAGTTGTTCCAGCTGCTCGGCCACCAGCTGCTGCCGCTCGGAGAGCTGTCTGTACACCTCGAAGGCTTCCCGGAGGCGTCCCCCAGACGCCAGGGCGTCAGCCTGCTGGAGCAGGACTTTGCACTCGGGCGTCGAGGGACTCGGAGGCTGCTCCTCCGGCCCCGGCTCCGGCTCCCGAGTGGCTAAAGGTGCGGAGCCTTCTGTAGCCGCCTCGGGCTGGGGGCCCATGTCGCCGCGGGCCGCGGATGCCGCCGGCTCCGCCTGTTCTAAGTTGTTGCCGCCGAGCTCGGCGGGCAAGCTCAGCATCTGTCCAGTCTTAAGTGAATCCATAGAGAGACAGGCGCCCCGGGAAGAGGCGTCTAGGGGCCAGAGACCCAGAGCAAAGAGCAGCGACTGACTTGAATCCGGACTGCCACGAGCGCCGCGTTGCCGCGCGCCGATCCCCGCCGCGCCTCCACGAGCTCCATGCCGGCCGCCGCGCGCCGCCTAATAACTGTCTTGTCTCAGCAAAGTGTTATATAAAACTGTATCACGTGACGCGCCGCCACGCCGCTCATTGGCCGGCGGCAGGGAAATTGTTACAAAACCATACAGTTTTGTAACAGTGTTGCGCTTGCTTCTTTTGGCTTCGCTTTTCTTGGCGCCTTCTTGAGGTTGTTTGTATTTACTCTCCTCCGTATTTCCCCCTCACAATGTGGTTGCTTTTCTGAGGAGAGGGAGGGAAAAAACCCAAAGTCTTCTCTCGGGTTTCTCCGTCACCAAACCCTACCCGATCCCACCTTCAAACCCGCCGGGAGACCGGTCCCCTCAGCCCATCGTTCGCGGGCGGCCCCTCCCCCAACCCATCCCTCGAGACGCTAAGACCTCGAGGTGAGCAGCCCGCCAAATCTCTGAGACGCGGAAGGCGCGCCCGCCTAGGGGCTACGGTTGACGTCTGCGGAGGGAAGCGTTTTGGGACGGTCCCCGGGAAGCCCACACTCCCCCCCACTCCAGTTCCGGCCGCGGCTCGCGAGCCCTGTGAGCCCCGTCCCTAACCGCCTTCCCCGGGGAGCCCCCCCCCCCCGCAAAGGTAGTGAGTGTAGTCATCCGAGGGCGCTTCTGTGCTGGGAGCCACCCTGAGCAGCGGGCCCGGCGGGCGCAGAAGTTGGGTGGCGCGCGCCGAGGGGCGAGGGACCCGTCAGGAAGATGCGCTTGCGGGACGGGGCCCAGGGGAGGCGCCTCGCGTGCCCCGCGCCTCAGCTCTCTCCCGCCGGCGCCAGAACCTGCGGCGGGCGGGCACGAGGCCGTGGGGGGCCACCAGGGGGGGCTCCGGGGGACCACGAGGGGGCGTGGCCACGAGAACTCCGCTCGGATCAGCGGGTCCCCTGGGGGCGTGGGAGAACCGCAGGCGGGACCGGAACCGGGAGCGCTCCTCCGGGGAAAGTCCGCGAGTCCTGGCGCGCTCGAGCGGCGGGCCGAGCTGCGTCCAGGTTCGCTGCTCCGGAGCGGCGCCGCGCTCTCGGCCCCGGCGGGTCGCCCCTGAGGGCTGCGCGGGGGATGGGCGGTGGGCGACCGCGAGGGCTGTGTGCAGGCGGCGGTGCTGGGCTCACGGTAGCTGGGCGGCCTCGAGGCTGCCCCGCTTCCTTCCAGAAGGCCCGTGTCAACTGCTCACGCGATCTCTCCCCACCCCTCGCCCTCAGAAGTTGACGGGAGCCACACGCACAAACGAAGAGGCTTCGAGACCTAAAGGAATAAGGCACAGCCCCCACGGCCATGCCGCTGCGAACGCCGGCGCGGGGTCTGGGCTTGCCTCTGGCTCCGGGAGCCCCGAGGGCCTGCGGGCTCGGAGCAGTGCCTGGAGCCGCGCGCCGCCCCAGCGCCTGAAGACCTACAGTTGGCTCCCGCTGTGGCCATTTCTTAGTTGAGGGACCTTGGGCAAGTGACCTAAACTCTAGGAACCGATGTTTGGGGTTCTGAACACATGTCAGGGATGATCTTAGTCGGGATCAAGTCATGTTTCAGAGCTGGGGACCACAGGCTCCGTCAGGGCTCTGTGTCTCTTTAGGTCGTTAATCTCCCCTCGAATCAACACCAAAGCCCCCCAAAACAAGTACACTGTCGTGCAGCAATTTCTAGAGCCTCCCTCTGGTAAGACAGGACTGGGGAATGGGTCAGAGGGGAGAAGGAACGCTGAGACAGCGGGGAAAGAGACCAAGAAAAGAAACCAAGGAGTTCAGGATGTAGCCAGGAAGGCATAAGGCGCTCATAGGAAAACTTGGCTTGCAGCCCTAGCTTTGCCATGACTTGCTATGAGACCTTAGGCAAGTCCTCCACTCAGGCCTTAGTTTCTCCAGATCTCCAAGGTTCTCTCCAGCCCTCGCCTTCAATGGCTTCTATCCTAAGACTGAATTTCATGGTACCAACTCAACTACTTAAGTACAAGACTAGTCCAGATGCTGGGGGTGGGGGTGGCTTGGGCAAGGGGGTGAAGTCAGCAGTAGTAGTAGAAGGACAGGGGCGGCTAGACTGCTGTCCTCTTCATCAGGGTCAGGCCTGAGCTAGATTTTAAAGATAGAGAAGTCAGAGGACTGGCCAAGAGGGGAGGACATGGCCATGCCAGGCAGCGGAGGAGGGAAGCCCCTTTCACCCTTCAAATTGCCCTGCCGTTGAATGGGCTTGGTCTTAGTCCATTCAGGTTGCCATAATAAAATACTGTAGACTGGGTGGCTTATAAGAAACAGAAATTTATTTATCACACTTCTGGAGACTGAACAAGATAGAGATCAAGACTCCTGCAGATCTGGTGTCTGGTGAGGGCCCACTTCCTGGTTCATAGGCAGCCATCGTCCGGCTGCGTCCTCAAATGGTGGAAGGTGAGTGATCTCTCCAGCATCTCTTTTATAAGGGCACTAATTCCATTCATGAAAATGAGAGTCCTTTTGATTTAATCACCTCCCAAGGACCCCACCTCCAAATACCATCACATTAGGGATTAGTTTTCAACAAATGAATGGGGGGGGGGCGACACAAACATTCAGTCTATAGCAGGGTCCCCAACATTAATTATTTTTCTGCCCCTTCTGACACCTATGAGGAGGGACAGTCTGTAGGTAATGGGCAGGTAATGAGAGGTAATGAAAGGGCCATGAGATAGATAATAATGAAAACTTAATTCATGATCCTTATCCCTTTGACAAGTTTTTAAAAAGATGTTGGTTACTGCCAGTTGTCTTCCGGATGCAGTTCTGAGATGTGCCTTGCTCCCTGGACCACCTTGATGGGTAAACATCCTCTGGGTTGGTTTCCCTCCCTTGCCCGTCGGGGTTGGAGGGGGCAAGGAGAAGGCCAAGGCAAGTCAGGCAGCAGGTTTCAGTCCTGCAGGCATGGAGTAGAGATGCTCTCACCAGGTCGCCCCCTTTGGCATCTGTGTGTGCCCAAAGCTGACCATGAATTTGGCCAGGAATGTTAATAGCTGCCAGGGTGATGCAGGGTGCACTGGTACCGAAGACAGGCAGCACCGTGTACTCATTGACCAGACAGACTTCATCAGAGTTTTCCATTGTCTTTGCATATCCGGACTGCCTGTAGGATAACACCAAATGGGCTTCTATGGAATTCTGGAAAACATTACCACAGTGGCTTTCTTCCCTTCTTTATTTAAAGTAAACAAACATTACCTCAATGTACATTTGTGGACCAACTCAAAAGTCTCCTACTCAAAACTTCCTCCGGAACCTCTGAGCTCACTAATTGGAGCTCCCTACAAGGAGGGGAGGGGAGAGATGGACAACACTTTTTCAGATGCAAATATTCCCTTCCGAGTGCCTGGTGCTTCAAATCTCCCTTTAATTTGCTAGGATCCCCCCCTTGTGGCTAAGGTTGACCATGGGGCAGGCAGGAAGAGCAAAGGTTGATCTGCACCTCCTTTTCCAGTGACTACAGCAAGTTTTCCAACCAGGCGCTGAGGAGCCTCTCTGGGGCCCAGAGGAGACAGCTGGCGGGGCTCTACCCTAGCTCCCCCTTCAAGGGCAGCACTGCATCTGTTGGTCTGTCTGTTTCATGGTGAGCTTGGGGGTACAATCTCACTGAAGAAAGGCTTTCCCTTCTTTAAAATAAAAAGTCTGACGAGACGAAATCAGAGAGGGAGACAAACCATAAGAGACTCTCAATCATAGGAGACAAACTGAGGGTTGCCGGAGGGGAGGGGAGGGATGGGGGAGAGGGGGTGGGGTAACTGGGTGATGGGCATTAAGGAGGGCGCGAGATGTAATGAGCACTGGGTGTGATATGCAACTGATGAATCACTGACCTCTATCTAATAGTACAGAAATAATACACCATATGTTAATTGAATTTAAATAAAAATAAATAAAATAAAAAGTTTGCAAATCATGGCAATTTTCACCTATTTGTCGAGCATCTTCTAATATGCCAGGCACTGTGGTAGGTACTGAAGATACAGCATAGCAGCACTTGGCTCCCAGGTGCTCCCTTTACAAATGGTTGCACATACTCTTCCCACACATTCTCATCCCAGCTTCCTAGACAGACTAGAAGTTCCATGAGGGCAAGACTAGTGTCTTGTGTCTTTCATCTCCTCCTCAAAGGACAGTGTTTGTTTTTGATTTGGTTTTGTTTTAGAGAGGGAAGGGGGAGGGGCAGAGGGAGAGAATCCTCAGGCTGACTCCCCGCTGAGTGTGGAGCGTGACACAGGGCGCCATCCCAGGACCCTGAGATCAGGACCTGAGCCGAAATCAGGAGTCAGACGCTTAACCCACTGAGCCACCCAGGTGCCCCTCAAAGGACAGAATTTGAACAGATCTTACTGAACACGGCAGTGGACATTTTGGCTCTGGATGGGAGAGTGCAGGGGACAAGAGGACATCCAGCTAGAAAGTCATACCTTTGCCCTGGGTCATTCACAGAGGAGAAAGTGAACACGCAGATAATTAAGCATTGACAATCCTGTGCTCACTTTGGCAACACATATACTAAAACTGGAAGGAGCCGACAGTCCCATACAACCCTGCACAGACACACACACACACACACACACGCACGCACACTATGTACAGAAGCTTGGCCAAAGCACTTATTTACTGTTTACTTGAGTTTCTCATTTTATAAACTGGGGGTGACCCATCAATTATGCAGTCTTGGGGCGCCTGGGTGCCTCAGATGGTTAAGCATCTCCCTTCAGCTTGGATCATGATCCCAGGCTCCTGGGATCGAGTCCCGCATCGCTTCTCCCTCTGCCTGCCGCTTCCCCTGCTTGTGCTCTCTCTCCCTCTGTCGAAAAAATAAATAAAATCTTTTAAAAAATTATGCAGCCTTTATAGGGGGGAAAAAAAAGACATCATGGGCGTTAAAGGCACTGACATGAAAAAGGCTGCCCCTCACTATCTAGAGTAGCCAAGAGCCAGAGCTAAAAACTACAAGTGTGAAAACTTCACAGATCAGCCCTGGTTTCACAGATCAGGGAACTGAGGGCTAGCGAAAGCTGGTGATTTGCTGTGGGAATCCGTGACACAGCCTCCTGTCTCTGTTTAACGTTCTTTCCGTGTGAGCAGAAAGCTTCCAAAGGACACAGACCATCTCCCCAAGTAAGTCGGAAGTTATTTCAGGTTTCTTACATGATTTGCAATTCAACAAATGTTTATTGAACATATACTACGTGCTAACAGACTGGCATCTGTGGGCAAGAATAGAAGGATATGGCACTGTTCTTAACCTCCAGTAGCTAACTGAGGAAATAAGAGGCAAAGATTTGAAATAGTTAAGTAAAAATAACAGGCAGTATGTGAGAAGTGCCAAAATTGGGGGAACAGCGAGTCCAAGCGAGAGCGCAAAGGAGACAGACGGCTGCTTTCCATCTCATAGCCTTTAAGCCAAGCTGGAGAGGATTTAGCTAGGAAAGTTGAAACCACCTCACTTCTCAACCCAAGGGGGTTCCCTTCACATCAGGGGCCACCTGGCTGGGAAAAAGGAGAAATTCAAGGAAGCTGGGATTTCTAATTTTAAAGGCTACCCATGTGATTATAATACTCAGCCAGGTTTGGGGTTTACCCACATAAAGGATAATGCAGAATAGATTGGCTAAGTGCACCCCAATCCTTTTCTCCCTAGCCCATCCTCAGTTTCTCTGGGGGAGGTGGGTATCAATAATTCTTGTCTACTTTTTACTGAAGGGAAAACTGAGGGTCCAGAGACTTTCTTTCCCCCCACCCCCACCAGAGACTTGCAGTGATGTGGTCAAGGTCCTTTAGCAAGTAGCGTGATCTCTGGTTTCCTGCCAACCAAGAGAAATAGAAAGATCAGAAGCTATCCTCAAGGAAGATTTTGCTTCATTTCTCTGCAAGACAAATCAAACCCACTTGGTTGGCCAGAGTTGGCTGCCCAGAGGACAAAAAGGAGCAAGTCTCTGGAACTGCCAGGTGTGTGGGACAGAGCCCAGGGCAAGGTTAGAGGCTGGGAGCTCCGAGTTCTAACTCTGCTGTGTGACTCAACCCAAGGCACTTCCCCTCTCTCTTTGTGTGTCCTTTACCTGTTAATAACGATGCCCAACGTCACTGTTGGCATTAGCTACCAGTGATGGCAAATACACAGTGCAGTTCGTCCCCATGTGATTCCTGGGAACAAAAGGGATCCACAGCCACCTGCCGACTGTTGTGAGTAAAGTATGTACCGACTGCCTTCGGAGTAGAGGCGCTTTCTTCCCAGGAGAGTGAGCTAAAGGCCCTGGGGCTGGGCCCTGCCCTCCGTAGGAGTACTGGCCAGTGTGGAGGGCCTAGAGATCCTGGCAGAGAGCAGTCTGGTCTTAGGAGGAGAAAGAAATAAAAGCCGGTTATCTGGAGGGAAAACAGCAAACATCCAGCAGAAGGAAATTACCTGAAAGCTTTGGCAGGCCTGGGAATGGTTAAGATCTGTCATAAGTTGTGGCAAAATATATAAAACATAAAATGGACCATTTTAACCATTTTAAGTGTACGGTTTAGTGGTATTAAGTACTTTCACGTCATTATGCAACCAGTATCACCACCCACCTCCAGAACGTTCTTCATCTTGCAAAACCAAAACTCTGTACCCGTTGAATGGCAACTCTCCATACCTGCCTCTCCCCAGCCCCGGGCAACCACTATTCTGCTTTCTGTCTCTGTGAATCTGACAACTCGAGGTACTTCAAATAAGTGGGACCATATAGTATTTGTCTTTGTGTGGCTGGCTTACTTCACTCGGTATAATGTCCTCAATTTCATTTATGTTGTAGCATGTATCAGAATTTCTTTGCTTTTGGGGCGCCTGGGTGGCTCAGTCGTTAAGCGTCGGCCTTCGGCTCAGGTCGTGATCCCGGGGTCCTGGGATCGAGCCCCGCATCGGGCTCCCTGCTCAGCGCGAAGCCTACTTCTCCCTTTCCCTCTCCCCCTGCTTGTGTTCCCTCTCTCACTGTATCTCTCTGTCAAATAAATAAATAAACATCTTAAAAAAAATTTATTTGCTTTTAAAGGCTGTGTAATATTCCCCTGTATGTACATACATCTTGCTTTTTTGCTTGTTCATTCATCAGTCAATGGACATTTGGGTTGCTTCCACCTTTTGACTATTGCAAATAATACCGTTATAAACATGAGTATACAAAGCTCTCTTCTAGACCCTGCTGTCACTTCTTTGGGATCTATACCCAGAAGTAGAACTGTGGGATTATATGGTGACTGGCTGGCAATTCTGTTTTTAACTTGAGGAACCACTATATTGTTTTCCATAGTAGCTGCACCATTTTACATTCCTACCAGCAATCCGTAAGGGTTCCAGTTGCTCCATAGCCTTGTCAACACTTGTTATTTTCTGTTGTTTTCTTTTCATGAGAGCCATCCTAATGGGTGTGAGGTGGCATCTCATTGTGGTTTTGATTTGTATTGCCCTGATGATGAGTGATTTGAGCATTTTTTTTCCATTTGCTTACTGGCTATTTGTATGTCTTCTTTGGAGAAATGTCTATTCAAGTCCTTTGCCCACTTTTTTCGATCAGTTGTTTGTTGTTTTGTTGTTGAGTTTTAAGAGTTCTCTCTATATTCTGGGTATTAATCCTTTATCACACACGTGACTTGCAAGTTTTTTCTCCCATTTCTCCCATTCTGCCGGTTGCTTTTCACTGCCGATAGCCTCCTTATCTGAAAACCGTGGGAGAACTGGGAGATGTCAGAATTCAGGGGTTTCTTTTTTAAAGATTTTTATTTATTTATTTGAGAGAGAGAAGGAGAGAGAGAGAGAGAACACAGAGGAAGAGTGAGAGAGAGAGAAGCAGACTCCCCATTAAGCAGAGAGCCAGACTTGGGGCTTGATCCCAGGACCCCTGGGATCATGACCTGAGCCAAAGGCAGATGCTGAACTGACTGAGCCACCCAGGCGCCCCTAGAATTCAGGTTTGGATCTTGAAGAATCTGGATTCAGAATCGAGCTCTTTGATGTTGTGCAAGCTACTTAACCTCTTTGAGCCTGCCTTAGTTCTTCCATCTGAAAAATGGGGATGATTCTTATCATAGAGAACCTAGCTGATAAGATTACTATGATGGTGCGTAAATGATATCATATGTCTCAAATCTTACCACTGAACCTAGCCCAGGCTAAATACTCAGTAAGTGGTAGCCTTTATTAGTATTGGGTTTAAGAAGGAACCAGAATGATGTAATTGAAATGTGATATTCGTTATTATCAAATGGGTGAGTAGGCCAACAATATTAAATAACCAACCCAAACACGGTACTATTACATAATACTTAACACTTGTGTAGCACGTTGCAATTTACGAGGCATTTAAACATTCGTCATTCATTCAACAGGCTCCGCTGGAAAATGATGATGAGTAAGGCAGTCCTGCAGAACTGAGTGGGAGAGACTACCATGGGAAAGGCAGTCTTAATCAGGAGATGAGGGCTAAGAAGACAGAAGCAGAGGGTGCTGACGGGAGGCACAGAGGAGGAGAGTTCAGATCAGGGGATGGCTTCTCAGGTGGGTAATATGGACCCAGAATTCTGCAGGATTTTGGGGTTAGGGGGAGGAAAGGTGTACTGGAAGGGGCTGAGCTTTCAAGATAGAAGAAAGAGCCACTAACAAACCCTGGAGGTAAGAGAGGCTGGCTGGCTAGGGAACTGCTACTAGTGTGTCATGGCTAGAGCCTAGAATTCAGCGAGAGGAGCAGTGTGAGATGAGTCTAGAGAGGCAGGCAGGTGCCCAGCCATGAAGGGCTGTGTAGACCAGGGTAAGGCCTTGTGATTTTATCCTGAGAGAAGGAAGATGCTGTTGAAGGGTTTAAAGCAGATTCATGATGTGATTGGCTTTGCTGTTTAGAAAGATCTTTGGCTGCAATGTGGAGAGAGCAAAATGACAAAGCGCAGCCTGGGGGAGACCAGGTAGAAAGATGAACTAAAGGAAGGACAATGAGGCTAGGGAGAAATGAGGGCTCAAGAGACATTTAGGATAAAATGGAGCAGATGTGGGGACGGATTAGGTGACCTTAGTTCACTCCTGGGAACAATTTAGATATTAGCATCATTCTTTCACTTAAGATGAGTAATAGAGGGGGCACCTGGGTGGCTCAGTCGTTAAGCGTCTGCCTTCGGCTCAGGTCATGATCCTGGGGTCCTGGGATCGAGCCCCGCATCAGGGTCCTTGCTCAGCGGGGAGTCTGCTTCTCCCTCTCCCACTCTCCCTGCTTGTGTTCCCTCTCTCACCGTCTCTCTCTCTCTCTCTCTGTCAAATAAATAAATTAAAAAAAAAAAAGAGTGTTAAAGATGAGTAACAGAGGCTGAGGAAGGGTCAATGATTTGTACGGGGTCCGAGAGCCAGAAGGAATCTGATCAGGACTCTGGCTTTCTACCCTGACATCTCCTGTTCACTCTTCCAGAATATGCTGTTAGATGAGTTTCTAGATCTTTACTGTAAATCCCTTTTAAGGAATTCAAGTCTTGTTTTCCCATCGACTGCTTTGCAGCATATAATCATTTCAGAGGTACTTTATCTGAGTTTTTAATTGGTTGTCAACGTAGGATGGCTTCACACCCCTGAGCTTTAAGACATTCTTTTCCTTTCTTGCTACTTAGTGTTTAATGAGTAGTCTGGAAGCAAACCCTTCTATCCCAGGGAGGCTCAAATGAAGAGTTTGGGGCTCAGAAAGAATGAGCCTAAGTCCTAGGCTCGGCCACTAATTAGCTGCGGGATAGAACAAGTCACTTTCTATAAACTCCTATCTGAAAACCCTGGGGACTAGAACTTATGAATGCATACTCACTCAAATTCAATAACTTTATGAGTCTCTTCTAAAATAAGTATGCCTTCAAACTGTGAATAACCACTCTCTCCTGAATCTGTTTGGTAAGTTGGGTTTCTGACTCCATAATATGCTCGTAGTTACTACGGATTTTCCCTGAAACTCTACTGTTTGCTCACCAGGGAGTATGTCTCTGCTCTGTAATTGCTGAGAGGAGTGTTATCAGACTTACCTGTCAACCAAGATGCACGGGTTTGTTTGTATTTTTCTCAGGCACTTGTACTGCTAAGTCTCACTTGTTTTGGCAGGTTTGAGGGGAGGAGTACAATTCTCTAAATTATAAAACCAGAAGGGAGAGAAAAAATGAATGAAGAAGGTGAATTCACACTTTATGGAAAACGCACCACCTGACAAGCCTATTGTGAGGCATCGATAAGACGAGGGAGAAGTGTCTCTGTGAATGGCAAGGCCCCGCCCAAGCGGAGGGTGATATGTACTATTCTTGCTTCCAACCCCACGAGCTAGGTGGGCCTGTGAGGGAAGAAGAGCCTTCGGCAGTGCCACCTCACCCAGGACCAGGAAGGATGGAGAGCTGACGATCCACCCCACTCCCAGGGGCTGGGCTCCAGTCCCCGGCCTGTGCGGTGACCCTCCTGGGTCGGGGGAGGCAAGGTCCAGTCCCGAGAGGCTGGCCCTCCTGAAGGTCCCCTTGTCTCCCCTGGCTTCCGCCAGCAGCAGGAGGGGGGACTGGGCTCCAGGCCCTTTACCCGAGGGCTTTAGGGGGCGCCCGGGTGGCTCAGTTGGTTAAGCGACTGCCTTCGGCTCAGGTCATGATCCTGGAGTCCCGGGATCGAGTCCCGCATCGGGCTCCCTGCTCGGCGGGGAGTCTGCTTCTCCCTCTGACCCTCTTCCCTCTCATGCTCTCCGTCTTTCATTCTCTCTCTCGCAAAAAAAAAAAAAAAAAAAAAAAAAATACCTGAGGGCTTTAGGCTCCTGCAGGGGGACGGCACCCCCGTGTGGGACAGCACCCACAGCCCAGTCTGGCTGTGACATGGCGGGACTAGCAGGCCGGGGACAGGCCGAGTCAGTCCCAGTGCGGGGCTGGGGCAGGCTCTCACCTGGGGGCTGCGGACATCCCAGCACCTCAAGCACTGCTGGGGGCCACAGAGCAGAGACCTCACGGGAGGCCTCGGAGAGGATCCCGAGACAGAGACGGAGAGGGGATAAGGCCCCTGGTAGAGAGTCAAGCCCTAGGTGGGTAGAAAAGAAACGTCCTTGACGAGGACAGTGATTATAAAGCTCTTGGTATTCAGTCAACAAACGTTTGTCCAACACTCCCCCCACCCCCCCCCCGCCGTGCAAACACACCATGACTGTTACAAGCTCAAAGGCGGGGACATCCCCCCCTCAATGGCCTATGCTCACAGGGGAGGTAAACACGGTTCACAGAGGTCACTGTCATTCAAGAGAGGTTGTGGGGGTGGGGCGGGAAGCAGATACAGGAAAGGAGGCTGCCTGGAGGCAGTGACTTTTGGGCCCCGGCTGTAAAGGAGAGCTCGGGATGGGTCTTTGGGGAGTGGCCCTTGCCATGCCTGACATTGAAGGGAAACCTCTCCAAGTTGTTGTGGCCTTGAGTCCTTCCCCCTGTCCTACTCTGACCCTGGAGACAGGTCTGCAAAGGGGAAGGACTGGACCGCTTCTGCTGACCAACGGGGGGAATCGGGCGGGGAAAGAGAGCACTTTTCCCTAAAGAAATCTGTCATCATGCAAGTGTCTTCCTCTCTAGACCATGAACTAGGGCAAGCACAAGTCTTAGGCACCTGTGAATCCCCAACCACTAGCACAGTTCCCAGTATATAGTAGGTGTTCAATACATGCTCAGTGAAGGACTGAATGACTAGGGTCTGGAATAGTTGTCCTGTAACTTCAAGTGGACAGCCCAACTTTTCGTGACCTGGAAAGACACTTGTTTTCCTAGAAAAAACTGTCTGCCTGGGAGCATTCGATTTTGCAGTAGGCAAGGGAGCTGCCTTATTAATCGTCCGGCTCACCCCAGGACTCCCATCAAATCCCCCAGCTCTGTCCTATGGCCAGCACAATATCTCTGCGCTTTCCTACCCCAAGACTCCGGCTTTTCCTGCAGCCGAGGAACCTCTGAGGTCTTGTGTGCGTTTTAACACATGCCCTGTGGAGACAATGTCCTGCCTTCAGTGCCCCAACCCAGTCAGGGGATGCTGCCTATCTTTTGAAACCCCAAATCTTCCTCCCCTTGGAAACCTTTCCTGAGAAAAGCCCACACACATGACCCCTCCTGCTGAGCGAGACATTCATTATATTACAGGTGATCATGCTCGAGTCACAGAGATGTTTCACGTACTGCCTTTTCTCTCAAATAAATGGGGAGCCCCTTGTTGCCAGAGATGATGGCACCACTTCTCTGTCCCCAGGAATGTCTCTCAAATAAGCATTGCACCTAGGTGTGCAATATATGCTTGCTGATCGAGGGGAAGGCAGAAAGCTGATCTGGGCCTTTCGGGGATCCTCGAGTCACATCCATTTGCTTTGTCTATGACTGGTTACTTAACCTTCTGCCATCAAGTTGCCCCAGAAGCTGGACAGACCAGAAACGATGCTGTGCCGACTTCGGATTGGGTATCAGGAAGTCTTGGTTGTGGTCCTGACTCTGTCACTAACTAACACGAATTTTGGCAAGCCAGTTAGCTGATTTTGGCCTCAGTTTCCCCAATTAAAAAATAGGGAGACTGTTACTTCTGGCTAAGGATTTGTACTTACACCACCCCCTCCCCCGCCGCATGAAACAACCAAAGAAAGAAAGAAAGAAAGAAAGAAAGAAAGAAAGAAAGAAAACAATATGAAGCAACAGTTTTCAAGACACTAGGTATTAGGCAACAAAGGACAGTGATCCCAGAGAGAAAACAAACAAGATGAGCCCTATGAATGCCTCAGCTTCTTTTTTAAAAATAGCTTTGTTGAGATGTAATTCACATACTATGCAATTGAAAGTATACAATTCAACGGTTTTTAGCATATTCACAGACACGTGCAACCAATTTTAGAACATTTTCATCACCTCAAAAAGACATCCCATACCCTATCTATTCCCTATTCCCTCCAGCCCTTAAACAACCACTATCTACTTTCTGTCTATAGATTTCCCTATTCTGGACATTTCAAATAAGTGGGCTCATATAATATGCGGTCTTTTGTAATTGGCTTCTTTCACTCGGTGTAATATTTTCAAGATTCATCCATGTTGTAGCATGTGTCAGTGTATATACATCATTCATTTTTATGACCAAATAATATTCCATTCTATGGATATAGCACATTTTATTTCTACATTCTTCAGTTGATGGACATTTGGGTTGTTTTCACCTTTTGGCCATTATGAATAATGCTGCTGTGTACAAGCTGTTTTGTGGAAATATATTTTCCTTTCTATACCTTGGAAGAGAATTGCTGGTTCATATGGTAACTCTATGTTTAAACTTTTCAGGAACTACCAGACTGTTTTTCAAAGTGGCTGCATCATTTTTAAATACCCGCCAACAATGTACAAGAGTTCCGATTTCTCCCTATCCTTGCCAATACTTGTTATTATCTGACTTTTTTATTATAGCCATTCTAGTGGGTATAAAGTGGCATGAAGTTCATTGTGGTTTTGATTTGCATTTTTCTGATGACATCGAGCAAGTTTTCACGTGCTTATTGGCCATTTGTATCTCTTCCCTGGGGAAATCTCTCTTTCTATCCTTTGCCCACCTTTTAATTGGGTTATTTATATTTTTATTGAGTTGTAAGAATTCTTTATATAGTTTAGATACAACTCCCTTATAAGATTAATGACTTGCAAATATTTTTTCCCATTCTGTGGGTTGTCTTTGTGCTTTGATGAGTGTTCTTTGAAGCACGAAAGTATTTAATTTTGATGAGGTCCGATTTGTTTTTGCCTTTTGTTGCAATAAATAAAAATCTTTTGCCGGGGCGCCTGGGTGGCTCGGTCACTTGGGCGTCTGACTCTTGGTTTTGGCTCAGGTCATGATCTCAGGGTCAGGAGATCAAGCCCTGTGTTGGGCTCCATGCTGGGTGTAGAGCATGCTTAAGATTCTCTCTCTCTCCCTCTGCCCCTCCCCCTTCCTTTATCTCTCTCTCCCTCTCTAAAAAAATTTAAAATAAATAAATAAATCCTTTGCCAAATCTGAGGTCATGAAGATTTACCCCTATGTTTTCTTATAAGAGTTTTATAGTTTTAGCTCTCATATTTAGGTTTTTAAATCCATTTTGAGTTGATGTTTGCATATGGTGTGGGGCATGGTCCAACCTCATTCTTTTACATGTGGTTATCCAGCTGTCTCAGCACTCTTTTTGAAAAGACTATTCTTTCACCATTGAATGATCTTGGCACTCTTGCCAAAAATCAGTTGACTATAGACACATGGTTTTATTTCTGGAATCTCCATTTTATTCCATTGATTTATATGTCTATCCTCATGCCAGTACCACACTGTCTTGATTGTCATTGCTTTGTAGTAAATTTTGAAATTGGGAAGTGTGAATCCTCCTACTTTGTTCTTCTTTTTCAAGACTATTTTGGCTATTCTGGGTCACATGCAACTCCATATGAGTTTTAGAATCAGCTTGCCAATTTCTAAAGAGAAGCCAGCTGAGATTCTTCTAGGGATTGCATTATATCTATAGATCAACTTGGGAAGTATTGCCATTTTCACAATATTAAATCTTCCAGTCCATGAGCTCGGGATGCATTCCCACTTACTTAGATCATTAATTTCTTTCAACAGTGTCTTAAAGTGTTCAGAGTATATAAGCGTTGTGCTCCTTTTCTTAACTTTATTGCTAAGTATTTTATTCATTTTGATGCTGTTGTAAATGGAATTGTTTTTTTAAAAGATTTATTTATTTGAGAGAGAGAGAGAGAGAGCATGAGTTGGGGGGGGGCGCACAGGGAGAGGGAGAGGGAGAAACAGGCTCCCCACAGAGCAAGGAGCCTGATGCAGGACTTGATCCCAGGACCCTGGGATAATGACTTGACTGGAAGGCAGACGCTTAACCCACTGAGCCACCCAGGCGGTCCCTTGCTGAACTTTTTTATTAGCTGTAATAGTTGGGTTTGTGTGTGTGTGTCTGTGCATTCCTTAAAATTTTCTTTTTTTAAAGATTTTATTTATTTATTTGAGACAGAGAGAATGAGAGACAGAGAGCATGAGAGGGAGGAGGGTCAGAGGGAGAAGCAGACTCCCTGCTGAGCAGGAAGCCCGATGCGGGACTCGATCCCGGGACTCCAGGATCATGACCTGAGCTGAAGGCAGTCGCCCAACCAACTGAGCCACCCAGGCGCCCTCCTTAAAATTTTCTATATACAAGATCATGTCATCTGCAAATAGAGATAATTTTACTTTTTCCTTTCCAATCTGGATGCCTCTTCTTTCCTTTTCTTGCCTAAGTGCCCTGGCTGGAACTCCAGTAAAATGTTGAGCTGCAGACATTTTTGTTCTATTCTTAATCTTAAGGGTAAAGCATCTCTTCTTTCACCATTAAGTATGATGTTAGCTGTGGGTCTTTTGTAGATGTCCTTTGTTGAGGAAGTTCCCTTTTATTCCGACTTTGTTGAGTGTTTTTGTCATGAAAGGGTGTTGGATTTTGTCAAATGCTTTTTTTTGCCTCTATTGAGATGATCATGCGATGATGCATTACATTAATTGATTTTCAGATGTTAACCCAACCTTATAGTTCTGGGATAAATCCCACTTTTCATGGTGCATAATTCTTTTCACATGTTGTTAGATTCAGTTTGCTACTATTTTGTTGCAGATTTTTGCACCCATATTCAGAACAGATAATGATCTCTAGTTTTCTTGTGATGTCCTTTGGTTTTGGTATTTGGGCCTCATAGAATGAACTGGGAAGGGTTCCATCCTTTTCCATTTTTGGAAAAGTCTGTGAGGAGTTAGTATTAGTTTTTTGAATGTTCTTATAATTCAGTGATAAACCATCTGAATTTGGGATTTTTCCCTCGTGGGGAGGTTTTTAAAAAAATTACTAATTTATGGGCATCTGGATGGCTCAGTCGTTAAGTGTCTGCCCTTGGCTCAGGTCATGTTCCCAGGTCCTGGGATCGAGGCTCGCGTCGGGCTCCCTGCTCAGCGGGAAGCCTGCTTCTCCCTCTCCCACTCCCCCTGCTTGTGTTCCCTCTCTCGCTGTGTCTCTCTCTGTCAAATAAATAAATAAAATCTTTTAAAAAAATTACTAATTTAGCCTCT